GAAGGTGCTATGGCATGGAAATGAATGTGGAGAAAACAAAAGTAATGAAAATTTCGAGACAACCAACCCCAGTCACAATAAAGATAGACCAAAAACAACTGGAGAATGTGAAATGTTTTAAATATTTGGGTAGCTTGTTAATAGATGATGGAAGGTGTACGTGTGAAATTAAATCTAGGATTGCCATGGCAAAAGTTGCATTTAGCAAGAAGAAGAATCTTTTTACCAGCAAATTGGAATTAAATTTGAGAAAGAAACTAGTGAAATGCTACATTTGGAGCGTAGCTCTGTATGGGGCTGAAACTTGGACACTTAGGACAGGAGATCAGAAACACCTGGAAAGCTTCGAAATGTGGTGTTGGAGAAGGATGGAGAAGATCAGTTGGACCGATTATGTGAGAAATGAAGAAGTGTTAATTAGAGTCAGTGAGCAGAGGAATATCCTACACGAAATAAGAAAACAGAAGGCTAATTGGATTGGTCATATCTTATGCAGTAACTGCCTTATAAAAGAAGTTATTGAAGGAAAGACAGAGGGGCAGATAGAAGTGACCAGAAGACGAGGAAGAAGACGTAAGAAGATGCTGGATGACCTTGGGGACAGAAGAGGATATTTTCGTTTGAAGGAGAAAGCTCTAGATCGCATCAAGTGGAGGAATTGTTTTGGAAGAGACTGTGGACCTGTTGTCTTCATAGATTACTGATGAATGAATATATCTTCAGTCAGCCTACCAGTTTCTCTTCAGATCCTACCATTTTGAAGAGAAATGAAATAAAATTAATATTACAGTTTTCGATGTGGCATCATGTCCACACTCTCAAACATACAGCTTGTTTACCCACATAACACCTTTTCACTGCTTCTAAATCTGATTAACAAAACCGATGCAACACAGAAGCAAATTTTACAGTCAAAACTACCATTTAATGATTCTCAATTTAAGGTTTCTTTGCATTTAATGTTCGATTTCAATGATGCCAAGTCAATCATCTCAGTGTTGAAATTTCCTCTGTTTAATATTTTCCTCAGTTTAGTGTTCAAATACATTACTTGGCCGCACCATAGCTCAAGTGGTTAGTCGCTGGCTTCCCACCGCAGCGGCCCGGGTTCAAACCCGAGCCTGGTCACGTGGGATTTGTGGTGGACAAAGTGGCACTGGAGTAGGTTTTCTCTGAGTACTTCAGTTTCCCCTGCCAATCTTCATTCCACCAAATTCTCCATCATCACAATCACCCAGGGCAGGTACAATAGGCCAATCAGTGGGCGCTGTCCCGAGTGGACCCAACTGGACTCCACCCCCCACTATGTGAATTAATTAAAATTACTCATACATGTGACAATTGGTGTCAGAAGTGGGATCAGATGGATCGATTAATGGACTGAAGACTGCAGTGTGTAGTTATATCACCATACTACAAAGATGAAACAGATACTGGCATGCCTGCTGGTTGAAATGAATGTCACTCGAGAAAAGATGTACTATAACCATCAAAGAAGCCAAAATAGGGGCTGAAATTGGGCGCCAATCATGTAAAGTTATAACTGAAATGCCTAGGAAAAAGGATATTTTGTACGTCAAATGGCCAGGATGTGTTATATTTTTGTATCAATAATACATATAAATATCATGAAGTAGACATTTCTTATTTTCTACAGGGAAAGTCTAATGAGAAACATGTAATGAGCAAAATATGAATCACCATGGTAAAACACTGAAGTCCTCCTGCCTCGCACTAATCGAAAGGTAAAAACATAAGAACCTATCAATTACACCACATCTCCAATTACAAACTGCAATTCCTTAGTCCTTACCATGCTCATTATTGAGCTTAATAAGCTCAAGTCGCACTGTCCAAACTTCCCATGGAATACATTCTGGCTGAAAGGGCCACCTATTTTTTTTCTTTTGGAAGAATTCAAGTGAAATTTGACCCGATCCGGGGCCATCATTTCCACGCAAAGCTTCAGAGAATTCTGATATCTCCCGTTTCAAATTCCTGTCCAGGTTATCAGACGAACAACAAACCTAGAAACAAAATTAAAAACTTCCGCAAATCATGGAAATTACTCTCATAAGTAAGGTAATGTATGTAAATATGTAATATGTTGCTACTTCTGGAAGGTGACAAGTAAAGCTGTACCTATGGTTAAAGTACCATGTCATATAGACGATACAGAGCTGAAAAACCAGTCTTAAACTTGACACTAAATGTGGGCAAGTAACTAGCAATCACACTCCGGCCCAATTTTCCTTCAGAGAAAGAGCCAACAATACTTATTACAAGTAAGGTAAAGTTGTCCCTGTGCTTAACTATTCAGTTATTCAGTATTGAGGGGGTGGGTTACCCCATGCACTGCGACCAGTTTGATCTATTGTGCGTTCCCCTTTAAATTTCTACTGTCTCCATACCCTACCGGTACTGGTGCTCGCTATCGTTCCCTTCTGCCAGCGAGGTTTCGGCCTTCTACTGGCAGTGGTATCTAATAGCTAGTCCCTTTCTGTCAGTGAGGTCGTCCTTCCTCTGGCAGTGGTACCTAAGCTCCCCCATCTACTGGAGGCATTGGAAACTACTTGGGCGGGAAATTGCCAAACTACTTGGGCGGGAAATTGCCTAAATTTAGCTCAGAGGTCTCCTGGAGACATGAGGTTCTTTTACATGCCGTAAATCTACGACACGGGACCCACGGCTTAAAGTCCCTCCCAGAAGACTTGTTCCCTGAATTTTTCTGCCCTTAAAAATTCCACGATCTCCGCCGGGTTTGAACCCGCATACCTTGAGTCATGAGGTGGGAACGTTACCCTAGACTATGGAGGCCGCTTGTGCTTAACTAACTGAACACTATGCCAAGAAGATGTATGGGAGGAGGGTGGATGTATAGACCATGCTTTCTTGACAATGGCACCAGTTTGAAGTGAGTGGTCAGCTTCACCCTGGGGAAAGAGCCCCTGGTACCCATTCGACAGGAAGCTGGATGGGCCCCAGAAATGGTGTGGAAGAGACGGAGAAGTGGAAATTCTTGACCTTACTGGGACTCAAACTCTGACCCCTCAGCTGACCAGCCTGTAGTCAGTCCCTGTACCGACTGCGCTATCCTGGTTATTACAAGTAGATACAAGAAAATATAAAAATATTAAGTACTATTAAACTAACATGAAATTATAATGTAATATGCGTTCAACTAGGCCATCTGGGGGATCATAGTAATATCACCACATAATGAATGCAGAGACAGAAATAAGTGATCATCATGCCTAAAATTATCTCATGTTTTGTGCCCAGTTTTCATCTGAAGGTAAAATTACACGAGTTTCATTACTGATAAAAGAATCAAGTTGTCTGTTTCTGTGTAAGGTTTTAGTAATTACATCATAAACATAAAATTAAATAACTAATTACATTGGACATTCCATACAATTTTAGAAGACATAAGAATAAACAGGAGGCAATTCAATACCAATTTTTTTCTTCTAATTTTACATGTGAATGTAAACAGAAGCACTACTCTGTACAATATTTACAAGTGAAAACATGGCAACTATAAAACAGTGGAACCTTGGTAATCTGAGCCTACATTAATCCGAGATCACAGTAATCTGAACTGACACGCAGCAAAGTAAAAGTAAATAAAGTTATCCCTGTGCATAAATAATTATGCACTATGCCATGAAGGTGTATGGGGGAGTGGATATATAGATCCACACTTTCTTGAATTTGACATTAGCTGGAGGTGAGTGATCAACTTCACACCCCTGCTGCTTTAACCCCGGGGAAAGACCCCGGTACCCATTGTATAGGAAAGTGCATCGGCCCCAGAACTTGTCTGGATGAAGTGAAGAAGAGAAAATTCTGACCCTACCGGGACTCGAACTCCCGACTCCTCGGTCGTCCAACCCGTAGTTAGTTGCTATACCAACTACCCTATCCCTGCTGACTTGCAGTACCACCAAAAAAGACATTTCCAAAAACTATACATTTAATCTAATTACTTCTTTGCAATAAAAACGAATTATTATGAAGCAAGATATTATGTCTTAATGGCCCTGCCTCTCTAGGTGGTGAAAGATGTAACCCGGTTACCCTGAGCCCAGTTTATATACAAAATGTACCTACAGATCTTTTAAATAAATATTTTTGCTAATGTTTAAAAATATTTTTTCATTTGAAATCAGCTTACTGAAGTTGGACTCCATTACAGTGAAATTTCTACTTAATGAATCCCTGGAGGAAAGGCTTCCTTACAATAAATCAAGGTTTTCACTAAATGGGGTCATTCAAAATTAGATAAAAAAATTCTAGGGTATAACATCCTGAAGTGTAGTGAAAGTCAAACAACATTTTGAAGGAACATATTGCCTCTATCTTCATGGTCGAAGCGAATGCCTTGCAACAAATCAGCACAAAGCAGACGATAAGCAGATCTCCGCTTGCTTCCTGCTTCATGTGAATTTCTCACTTGGCTTGCTCTGTAAATGTGCACTGTGAACTGGAAAGCGCTTGGAACAAAGTGTTAATGACCTCTTTCAAGATAAGTGCCATGTGCCTGGAAGATATAAGACCATGAAATACTTCGGTCCCAATACACAATGCCACAGCTGATATCTCCCCAATACTAGTAGGACATGCTACTACTTGTACACACCCAAGTGCGCTACTAAGTTTGTCTATTAAGACATACTAGTAACATTAAATCACCAATCACAGTGGCCGCATGGTCTGAGGCATGAGTCGTCTTTGCCCACTCAAACACTGGGGTCATGGGTTCGAATCCCACTCGAGACATGGATGTCTGTGTGCATTTATTCTGTGTTTGTGTTGTTGTGTGTGTAGACAGCAGTCTTCAAATGGGCTGATCCCCTGTCCAAGGAGTCCTACTGTGTATAGATTAAGAAACTGAAAAAGCAGCCAAGGTGCACAAGGGCTGTAGAGCCACAGATAGTAACATAGCTCTTACGTATTACTGTCCAAGGTATAACAACCTTAGCAATTAACTGAGAAACCAGAACTCACAAAAAGACAACTTGATTTCTGGAATCATACAAAATTTATTCATAAATCCTCTTAATCTATGTAAATGTGATTCTACAGGAAAATTATCTGACAGCCTGCCACAAACTGTTCAGCAAATCCCATGGGAGAGACATACCTTCTCAAGTTCACTCACACTGTATGTGTTCCAACTCGATATAGTCAACGGAGCCTACAGACATTACAATCTCTCTCCAATATTACCTCCATAAATCACCTAATACTACAGTGAAATAAGCTTATGTGATACGTTACTTGTTGTGTCAAATGTCATGTGAGAGTTACACAGTGAAACAATGGACCAATACAGGTCTAAGTGCATGGGGAAACCCACCCTCTCCAATAACTAACTACACAGTGAAACAACTGTTCACATATAATACTCACAGGGAAAGAAGTGAGAAGATACTGGCATAAATTTCAAGATGTTATAGTTCCAAATAGAAAAAACTGTTTATATAATCATAAATAAATTCAAGCAAACGGGACTGTTATTGGAGAACAAAAGAACAGAGTACGAGGGTAATTCCAAAAGTAAGGTCTCCTATGTTTGAAAATATAAAATAAACATTTATT